GAGAGAGAGAGAGACTGTATATCAAAATAAAAGAAAGATTTCCCCTAATGAATAATTGCATTTTAGTGATTTATCATGGGGATCTTGCAGTTTCTTTGGCCTAACCTACAAGGGACAGCAGCTGTCATGCAAACTAGCAGCTCTGCAGACACTCACAAACCAAAGTCTGTACAAATTCCCTTAACTGCCACATTCCTATTGGCATTGCAGCTAATACAGGTTCAGAGCAGGGAAAATCCTAGTACTGACATTTTTGCTGACTCCGGTTTTCAGCTACAGTCACCACAAAAATGAACAACAGTTTACATTTTGGCAAAAAACATCTGACAGAAGTATGGGAACGCCATAACAAAACCCACAGAAGTAGCTGTAGTGTTAAAAAAAATTATGCTGTGGTTGTATTAACTGGCCACCGAGGATAAAACTGGTGCTGTAGATATTAAGGGGCACATGACCCTAAGGCCTTGTTCACAACAAATGCAGAGCAGATCCGCTCAGGTTTCTGCACACTCAGTGCAGTGGGTTGTGCCGCGTTTTTGCCACGTTTCTGATGCGTTCCGGGCCGTTTTTGGAAAAAAAAAACAATTTTTAGGCCTTGTTCACACCAAGCGCGGAGCAGGTGCAGAGCAGATCAGTTGCAGACCGGATCAAAACTGCGTCCAATGTATTCCAATGGTATTTTTTGCTCCAGTTTACATAGCAGCGTTCAGTTCCAGAGCAGGTGAAAAAACTGCAGCAAGCCCTATTTTACCTGCTCTGGATCTGCTCTGGAATGCATAAAAACGCATCAAAAACACATGCAAATGCCTGGAACGCACTGAAAGCCCATGTTAAACTAAAAAAAATGTTTGTTCCTACGTTCTGTAAAACGCTCAACATGTGAAAACCAATGATTGCCTATGGGCATGGTTCCCACCTGGGCGTTTTACAGCGCGTAGGAACACGCTGCAAAGCGCCCTACGACCAAAGAAGTACAGGAGCTTCTTTGGGGCGTATTTGCCATGCGTATCCATTGGGATACAGCCAGGTAGCACTCGGAAACACGCATTTGTCGCGCGTTTTTTTTAACCACGAATCGCAGTACAAACGCGCATATTTGATATGCCTAGGTGTGAGCCCAGCCTAAAAAGAGACGAGAGTAGGTTTTAGTTTTGAAAAAGTTAGCTCTAAAGTGAATCCTGCTTTTAAATCTGGAGGTGAAATTTAATATATATATATATATTCTTGAATCCTTTACCTAACATCAAAAATATATCATATGGCTCAGTATGTTTATTCATTTTGTAAAGACATTCTTTAAATTCCTACCTGGTCACCAAACTGAGTTCATCTTTCTGCTCTGTGCTGGATCAGTTGTCTGTTTATTGGCTCGGTTGCCTGCATTATGCAGACTAATCAAATAAACCATTTGCATCTACTTCTCCTATTTTCACCTAGCACACAAGTTAAAGTATTTGAACGCTGCTTAGAAGTCTTAGCAGTGTTGTCTCCCTGATTAATGCATCATGGCCCATTCTAATATTGTACACAATTTTATATTATGTTCTAT